TCAGATACATTATCAAAAATTGGTTTGTTCTTTAATCATATCTATATAATATAATATAGTAGATTAAATTATTAATTATTTTTTATGAATGATAGGTATTAATAACAGAATCATGACAATTCAATGGAACAAACATATTACTCATAATAATGATAATAATAATAAAAATAACATTTTTTCAAATCTTGAATCTTCAACATCAACATCAACATCAACATCAACATCAACATCAACATCAACATCAACATCAACATCAACATCAACATCAACATCAACATCAACATCAACATCAACATCAACATCAACATCAGTGCCATTACCAAATTATCCAACAGTTTCTCAATTAGAAACAATGGCACGGATCGAGAGATATAAACTGTTGGCAAAACTATGTAAAGAAAATAATATAAAATTTTTATTTTTGGGTCATCATTTAAATGATCAATTGGAAACCATGATAATGCGGTTTTCTAGAGGTAGTGGGATAGATGGTTTAGCTGGCATGGATATTACAAGTAGATTTCCTATTATTAAAAATTATGAAGCTTTAGACATAAGTATTGTTAGACCTTTATTATCTATCACCAAAGTATTGTTTTTTTTTTCATAAGTTATAAAATGTGTAATTTTTATAAATTTATTTATAACTTTCCTTATGCTTAATTAATTAGGAAAGACTTAGATTAACATGTGAAAATTTAAATTTGAAATGGTTTGAAGATCCAACAAATAAATCATTAAATTATAAAAGGAATTTAATAAGATTTCATTTAAATAATCTTGATAGGAAATATAATCTTGAAAATAAATTAGAATTTGAGCCATTATCAACAACAGGTTTAACAAATTTTTTGAATCATATGAAATATCATAAAATTTTTATAAATTCCAAAGGTAAATTTCTATTTATATATATATATTAAAGAGAGTGCGTGTACATGTGGTATTTTTAATTGATTTTTAATTGATTTTTTTTTATTAGTTGATAAGATTATTAAAAATTTTGTAAATTTTGACTCAAAAAATGGAATTTGTATTCTTTATTTATCAGCAAGCACCAATCATTGGCTGACTAAACAACATTTAGCAACAAGGATTCTGAATAAATTGATAAATTGGGTCAATTGTTCAGAGCACAATCCAAGATTGGAATCAGTTCTAAATTGTTACAAATTTATTTTGAAAATTTCATCAAATATCATTAACACCACTAATAGCAGTACACGAAATTCAAAAGAAAACTTCCAATCAAACATCACTATTAATGGTGTTTTAATATGTCAAACACTTTTTTCAACAAAGCAAATCAACAAAGATGATAAGCTTAGATCAGATATTCATCATTTTGTATTTAGTAGACAACCATTTATACTCAAAAAACAGCAACAAGAAGAGCAAAAAAATGAAATTCCAATAAAAAATGGAGAAATCATATTATGGGATAAAAGATTTTTTATTGGTGTGAAATTTCTGTCATCATTTTCCTCTCTAGAACATTTCTTTATTAGAGCTTTAAATAAAAAAGATTTAAAATTGATAAGAAATCAATTATCATTATCATCCAAAGATGATTATAAAACTTATAAAGAAAGCTTTGAAAATTATTTAAAAAAGATTCCACCAATTTGTAGATATACTATTCCAGTACTAGTAATAAAAAATAATAAATTAAAGAACATGAAAATGAGGAGTGAATTGATGACAACATTAAAAGAGGATAAGGATGAAGTAATTGTTGGTTTACCTAGTTTAGAAATCAATTTTTTAAAAAATAATTTGAGTATTTGGTCAAAATTTTGTAATGCTAAAGAATAATAAATTGAAATTTAAATCGCGACAAAGTTAGTGTAACATAGACTTTACATTTTAATCGATCAATCAACACAGGTCATTGGATTTGGACAAAATTTGTTTTTTCGATAAACGTGATAAATCATTCATTATTTTCAACTTTATTAACAAATAAATGTCAGCATTTAACACAAATACTGCCATTAGTTTTACAAACAACAATAATAACCCTCAAGGAAATGAAATAGAATTTGAAAGAATTTCTCATACACTTAATTCATTGATCAAACATTTTTTACTTGAAAATGTAAATAATTTCAATGGTAAAAATTTAAAAAAGAACGAGATTACACTACAGCAAAAACGAATTTTTGATTATTGTATGAGGATTTTGGGCAGGTAAATTTTTGTCTAGATCTACAATAATAAATAATATTGAAAGAATGAGTAAATTACATTTAATTGGCAAAATCTCTTTGTTATCATTTAGTCGAATGACACCCTCTATAGTTAATGATGAAGTTCATATATCAGATCTAATTAAAAAAAAACGTAAATTTTTAAATTTTAAATTTTTTGATTCATAATTCCTTATTGATCTTTAATGATTATAATTTTTTTATCAAGTAATTCGTGATGAAAATCAGTCCTCTTCAAAGGCTTTACGGTTTACTAATTTATTTTCAAAACTACAATCCAAGGTAAAATTAATTAATTAATTACCATACGTTTAGGATTCTATGAATTTAATATAATTAATATATTAATATTTATTTTTAGAAAATTATAACACAAAAATGGGGAATTCTATACTTTTTATTATCAATTAGTGATCAAGCCGGAAGTGATAAAAATCTTAAATTAGTGAATACTACTCCTATAGAGCAAATGTTTTCACATCGTGGATTATCCAATATATCATCAGCTCATTATGACCTTGATCAAAATAAATTTACATCATCTATTATCATCAATCAATCTATTCAATCTATTCCAACTATTCCAAATATCGCATTTCCATCATCATCCTCTTCTTTATTATCATCAGCATCACCAGCATCACCAGCTATACCAATTGAAATAACACAGGAAAAGGATACATTACCTCCAAAAGCAATTTTAAGCAAAAGATTGGCGCAATTACAAAATGGCAAGTAATTTGTATTATTAATTAGTCGATATATTTTTAAAAAAATTTTTTTATGTGACTTACTAACTTGTTATAAATGATTAATTATGAAAATAGCGAATAAAGAGATTTCAGAAGCACAGTTATTAAGAGATATCGTGTTTGTACTTCAAGGAATAGAAGGACAACATATTAAATTTGAAAAGGGATCCTCTTCGTATATTATTGATTCAAAAGTAAGATTATTGAAGTTTTTTTTCAAAAATTTGTGGTTAATATTATAGGGTTATATTAATTTCATTAATATAATAATTTATAATTTTTTAATCTGATAGATGACAATTACTTATTCAACTCGTGATCTTTTGCATAGACTTACAGAATTGGGATGGCTTTATCGACGAGTCAACGAGTATGTAAAGATTAATTTTAATGATCCTTCTATTGGCTTAGTTGGTCAGGTAATAAATAAATGATTAATTAATTAATCAATTTAATTTATATAAATCATCATAATGATTATTTTGTTATTTTTATTTATTTAGGCATTTAGTTCGGCACTGCAACGTGAATTAACAGAGTATTACAAATTTATTGCCACTATTGAAGCACAAGTTGCTAAAGAATTAGAAGATCAGCAGCAGCAGCAGCAGCAGCAGCAGCAGCACCAACACCAACAACGACAACAACAACAACAACAACAAACATTTACAAAAGGAATAACTTTAAAAAAACTTTTAGTATGGTCTCAAGATTATTTATTAAAATTTAGATTGATGTCAGTATTGGTGGAATGTTGCAAACAACAAAGAGGTGGTGCACTAGTTTCAACAATTTATAAATATACATATAACGGGGACCCATTTATTCAAAACTTTATTAATAATATCCTTGAAGAGGTAATTAATTAAAAAAGAATTTCAAGCCGGAAGTGATAAAAATCTTAAATTAGTGAATACTACTCCTATAGAGCAAATGTTTTCACATCGTGGATTATCCAATATATCATCAGCTCATTATGACCTTGATCAAAATAAATTTACATCATCTATTATCATCAATCAATCTATTCAATCTATTCCAACTATTCCAAATATCGCATTTCCATCATCATCCATTATTGATTTAGTATTAGCATCACCACTAGAAAAACAATTTGGAATTCATTCATTTGTTATTTAAAAAAAAAATATTTAATTAACAAGAAACAAACATTTGCCATGTCACGACCACCCTGGTGGTGGAGTATTTTTCTTTTTTTTGTTTAAATAAAATTAAATAAATATTAACATGTTACGAGATAATTAAATATATGGGACGTAAACAATAAACAATTAGAAAATAATAATAAAATAAATAAAAATAGAGATTAAATTGTCCCAGAATTAAGAGATTTGGCCAAAAGATCTTTGTCAAAGTTTAATTCCGGTAACAATATTTTTATCCCAACAGGGATAAACAAATAATCAATTC